CATGATTGACAAATACATCGCCTGGGTCCACAACGTCAAGGCCCGAAATGCACTGGATTGATGATTTCTCTTATAACCACGTGACATCTCAGTCTCGTGATAGCGTGAATGACAACGAGTCAGACTTCTCTTTCATTGAAAAGGTGAAGCGGTGACTTGTGAATAAATCAACAAACGAAAGAGAAATTTCCTTTTTGAATAAAAATCATTATAATATAATAATTGGCTAGTGTTTTTGCATTTTAAAATTCAACCCTTATTTCAGATTTATGTTTTTATTTGACTAATATCTTGGCCCATCTGCAAGTTAAAATTTAGCACTATGTTATATCAACAAATTACAGAAACAAACAATCACGCAGAAAATTGTCTAAACAAAGCAATATTACTAATATCTTGGGGAAAAAACGAAATACTCATCTAATAGAATTTTTCATTATTTACCAAAAAATTTACCAGCGTAATAATTTTCAAATTGTGAACCCTTTAGGAAATGGATAAATTCATAGTATGTGTATGTACAATCTGCATAGAATGTGTAACAATATTTATCAAAATTCCTAAAGAAAAAAACCTTGTAATTTGTATTAAAGTTAACCGCTATTTTCCTTCTACTGCTAAATCCCTTTGCCTACATTATCTAACGTATGCGTTGCCTGCACGATTTCCTAATTTATTACAGCAGTCCCCGGGCACAAAAGTTTGTGAAGACTACTCTCATTTGAACAAATGAAACTATGTTTCAGAATTATTTAGAGTAACTAAAATGTATGCATTTCTAAGATATAGTGCATATATTTCAGAAAGCAGAATAATCTTCATAGTTGAAAAGTGCCTAAGAAGTTTTTTGAATGTGTCATTTATTCATATCTATGCAATTATTTTAGACTAGACACAGTTATATTTGAGTTATTAAAAAAAGGTTTTCAATGTCAATTTTTTACATCGTTGGATGGGCTAATTTCCAATCAGGTATCCATTTTTCCAGACACATGCAAATTTTTTTACAAAAATAGCTGAAATAAATGAATAAAATGCCTATTTTACATATAGAGGAGAGACATATAAAGATTAAGAAAGAAAGTAACTAACGATATATAGCAAGTGAGAAATTGTTTCTGTTGAATAAATTTATAAGGAATTTATTGAAGTCAAATTCAAGTAAATAAGGCTGAGTTTAAAAGTTATTAAACCTTTATGTATGAAAATCACGGTTTTGCATTTATATCATTTCGCTTGACTGACTTTTCTTTCTAAGCACACGAAGAACTTCTAGTAAAAATACTGTATTGTATAGTAATAACAGTTCCTATAAAAAATGTATACTAAATTTTTAATTTTACAGTACAGACTAGTGACGCATTGTTTCTCAGGTGCATTTTCTGTACTATATTCAATCAACTAAAGAGATAAATCAACAGAACTCATAGTTTCTAATCTATAAGGGCTTCAGACATAAAGTGGTATAAGTGAAGAGCTACATTATTTATAATTAAAGCTCTTTTTATAATAATCTATTAGTTCACTTCACTTAATTTTAATTTTTTTGGACTTCATACTAAAGAAATAAATTAAAAACAAATGTCTCATATGTGAAGATGGTAATGTCTAGCGTATAAATACTTTTAAGCTATAAATTGAATTAAATAGGTACAGAAATGGATACAAGAGTGTAACCTTTATACTTAAAAATTTAATAACATCTAAACTATAAGTCATGGCCGTAATGGCTCTAGGGATAGAGCGCTTGCCTCTTAATGAGTTGGCCAAGGTTCGAATCCCATCGATTGTTGGTCGATACTGATTCAGCACTGGTCTCGCACCGACCGCAGTGCTGACGAAAGACATTACCAGTGGAAGACGGATCATGGGTTAGAGTCCTCATTCCATCAGGCTAATCGTGGGGTGTTTTCGTTATTTTCTCTCCGTGTAACGCAAATAGGGGTAGTTCAATCAAAAAAAATCCACCACGAACGCAAATTTCTCCCAATACTTGATCTAAAAATTCCTTTGTCTGCTGGAATGGGTTAAAATTTATAAGGCTATTGAGTTGAACATTGGTAGTCTTAACTTCTAAACTGGGTCGACTATCACTCAATGATGGTTCTATAGCATAAAATAAAATAAAAACTAGTAGTCTTATTGACTGGAGTTTTAGCAAATTTGAAAAATTGGGAGCCTGTTTCTCACGCACACACTGTTTCCCTATCTAATAGCAAAAAGTTTCACTGAAAAATCTGTAGGTTAAAATACGACTTTTTACGTGAAGAACTCATAGCAGGTTGATCAAGTGGTAAGAAAAGAAATAAACTCAAAAATAATAATAAACTTTTCTTCGTGCTATGTGAAAAAATATTAATTAACTAGTGGGATGCTCCCCCTGCTCGCCAACCCTCGAAAATTGCTGCGCAATCTTATATGGTTTGCTTCGCAAACCCAGCTCACTCCTCGCTCGCTACTAACTTAGGTGCATTGCAAATGCACAAAATTCGAAGAATTCAAAGCAATTATTCAAATCCATATAACAACTTTTTTTCAAAAAAAATTGCATCTTTTTAGTAAATACTAAGTCATTAAAATAAATTTGAATTCAAATAAATGACATTTAATTCGTTAAGCCAATTAGATTGAATAACAATAATAAAACAAATAAATTCGCAATATAAATCAAATAAATTCGTAATATATAAATTTGTGAAAAAAGAAATTTCGACAAAATACTAAAATAGAGATCTCTCGACAAAGACTACTCACTTCTGCCTAGCTTAATAGTATGAGACTGCCGCAGCTGATAGGGTGAATTTCGGAAGAGATCACATTGAGTGAGAATGCTCTCTCTGGTTATTTCAGTTTCTGACTTTGAAAGCGCTATATGTTGAGCCACCTCAACTAGATTTGACATGTGACATTTTTAGCAGCAATCATTGGTCGATTTTTCTAGCGTTGCCATTCGGGGAGTTGTAATGAGGCTTTTTTTGTCGCCGAGTAAGAGAAATATTTATATAGATGATATTTATAAAAAACACTACTTCTCATCAGTTATAAATTCAATCAATCAGTTATAAATTCATTCATTTACAAATTTCGATTGTTGCAGCCAAGGTTATATTGTCTAAAAATAAAATAGAGCCAAATATTTGTTTTGAGAACATCAAAATACCTCTTCCGGAAAATGTACAAAATAAAAATGCATTCTTCTAAGATGTTTTTGTAAATATGCCAGATATTTTTTATATCTGTATTTTTTTAATCACTGGATATTAAATGACATTAAGCGCAGTTGCCGGACGATATTATAAGATATTATAAGCAGATAAGCAGTGAATAAAAGCATTTCCATGTATATTTTAACACTTTTTTATTTCATTGAGTAACAAAAAAAGAAAAAAACAATATTTCCGGAAAAAAAAATTACTTTTTTGTCGGAATGTGAGGAACTTTTTTGTGAATTTCAAAATGTAGTGTCGCAAATTAAATCAATTAGTTGGATCAATTTCAAGTAATATTATCTGGTCTTATAGTTTAAAGTCGAGAGACACAAGTTTATTATTAAAATAAATTAATATATTTTAATATTATTCAAAGAATAAGCATTCACGCTGGATCTTTTAATATATAGTTAATTTGTTCCCAAGATCACGCGAAATGCTTTATTCATTATTCATATAAATAAATTCTGTAGGGATTCTGAGCAGGTAAATTTATTCAAGTTTAAGCCTTTTTTAGTTCCTTCTATTTTCCATTTTTTATTTATTCGCCTTATATTTTCACAATTTTAAATGCTGCACATAGGGAATAATTTTTAATCAATGGAATAATTTATCCACATTGTTCAGGAAAATATATTTATTTTGTTATTTCCTAAATGAAAGAAAATGCATATTTAAGCATTTAAAAAATTTAATACGTTATGTAAATGTTTCTATCTGTATGTTGGCTCTTTTCAATGAGAAACTTTAACACATAGAAATAGTGAAATGTTTTATGTTACTTACAATAAAACAAAATTTATTTATCAATAATAACTAATATAATGGATAGAATTAATCAAAATCTATTTATTTCCTCCGTCTTGAAAGTAATTTAAAAACACAAAGAACACCATTTTTTTTTATCAAATTCTATAACATAAATGTATCTTGTTTTTTTTCTTAGGTTTTTATCTTCCATCTTTTTTAAGCCATGGCAGAAACGCCTCATATTTTTTTATCTCTGATCAGACGACGGGACCAGTGCCCAAATTGATACGCCACACTTGAAATTCTCTTCCAGAACAAATTTTAAGTGCACCTTGCTGTAATACACACCGACTCTTAATAATTCACCAAGATTTAACTTAGGACATCCAACTTTCAGACAGCAGTATTTACCATTTGTTTACTAAAAGGATATATGTATGAGTTATGCTCGCAGAATCGTAACTTCTAGCTTACCAGTTTTCACTTCACCAACAGCACCAAGGGATTTCTTAGAGATCATAATGCTTGCTTGTCCTGTGAATTGGGGAATGTTATAAAGATGTACGCTTTAGTAAACATTAATGTAGTTTGTTTATGATCTTTGTCCTTGTACAGTAAAAAATAAATAAATAAATAAGTAAAAAACAATTTATTGTCTCGAATTATTTTGGATGATTCTATCATAGAGAAGCTTTGTATTCATTTCAAAAGTTCTCATTGGAACTTGTTGATCTGTTATGCACAATTTGCGATTGGCTTTTATTTGAATTTAAAGCTCATGTACACTCTAATTATAGTGTATTTGTCGCAACTATCACACGTGCTCATTTTTTTCAATTTTCATTTAATTTTCTTTTAAACTTTTAGAAATTAGTGAACAAAATAATAGTTTTACTACCTGTAAATTTTGAAATAAAGAGCTCTGCATTGTTAAGCACAGTTCACTTTTGAAAGAGAATAGATATTCTATTTTTTTTCTACATAACTAGCTGTACAATAATTTAAAACACGAAATTTGACAAAGGATTTATTTTCCTCTAATTCTTATATATTTAGATACACTCTTACAACTTTTACTCGTATAAACGTACATACAGAATATGTAAATTAATATAAAGTTAAAAATATACAACATGTAATAATTAAATGTGATTTAATTTTGCAAAAACTTCATTATGGGAATTTTTGAAATAGATATTCTTCTATTCTTACATTTCATCGACATTGAAGTAAGTTGCTTTCTTGCAAGCTCAAGAAAAAATGTCTAAGTACACAGATTTATGGCCTCACCATTTTTTCTTCCTTTGACGACATAAAAAAGGAGAACAACTATGATAGTCTTCCATTCACACCTTTGTACCCAGAAAGTAACCGGGTATTTTCAGTTGGGTTCGTCTTGTAAAATGTGTTGGCGACAAGCCATTATGCTCGAAATAATGTAGAAGAAAGAAGTAAAAGGAAACATCAATCACTCTTTTTGTCCTCATTGAACTGAATCGTGGTTGATTTATCCAACCCCTTTGGTGTTTCAAAGCAGCTATACAAAAGAATTTTGAACTTAAATTGTCACTAGTAACAATAAGAATTGCTGAGATTGTGTTTTATCCCATTAATCATTTACATGCATCTATAGTAAATATATTGTAATGTAAAATATTTTATATATAATCCCTGAAAAAGGACTGAATTTGTTTCTTACCTTTGGCAACACCAATAGTTAAATTGCATTGAAAACTAAAAATTTAAGTAGCTCATAAAATATAAGTAGTGAGCTTCACAGCAATAACGTAATTAATGATGTTTAATTATCATGTCATGAGATGAAATGATAATCCAGTTTCTCGGCAACTTCCTTCCTGTTAGCGGTAGACAAAAATAAAAATAAAAATTTTTCTTTATTTTTCATTCTTCCATGCTTACAGTATTATAACACTTTTCATCCATGCTAACAGCAAATATTTAAATAAAGCTAAATGAAATATACTTTGTATTTAAGGAAATAAACTTAACACATTCTTTCCATGTTTATTTAGTAACTTAGTAAGCAAATCCATTTTTTTGAGAAAAACAAAGCATGCTAGAAAATTAATTATTTTGAAGAGTGAAATTAACGGCAAAAAAATTGCGAAAAAATTTGTTAGTGCTAATCAAAAAAGTAATTTTTTCTTTTAATTTATTTATTGATAAACAAATATAAATGCTTTTGTCTATAATTTCAATTTTTGGTACATACTATGTTCGTTCAAATATAGAATCAAATTCCTTAGTTATCAAACACCTACCTAAGCTATTAAAACCACATTTTCCAGATTGCGACTAATATTTCAAGAATGAAAATTTTAAATCCGCTAAAACAAGTATGCTTATTCAGAGACCGTGACTGATTTTGTAACTGAAAAATATTCTCATCTCTAATTAATAAGCATATTCATAGTTAAGGAATTCTCGAACAATTGATATTGAATTTTAGTACGTAGAAATTCAATCATTAGAACAAAAGTTATTTAGAATGTTCAGTTTCCTGCATACTGTACGCGTTCTATACGAGAATAATTGGCAATCTCTGATACGCAACTCGCAATTTCATGAAACAGTTAGGGAAAATAAGAGAATTTAATGTACACCAAACTTGACAAAAATTAAAGTAGTATTGCAATATTCAATGTAATGTAAAGATATTTTTGGATTCCAAAATTTTTCTAAGATGCACCGAAAAAAATATATAAATGCCCGTAATTTCTGCTTAGTTCTCATGAGAAATGTATATAGAAATTTAAAATATATTTGCTATGTTTAAAATGAAGAATTTAATTAAAAATGCTTTGGATATATTTCCTTATTGATAAAATGTCATAAAGATAACAGAATATTGTATTTTCCTTTCATGTAATGTGAAATTGATTCCCCTAGCATAAAATGAAACAAATTAAAATTTGTAAAAATACTGTTTTGAATAATTGGTATTTTAGTGTCTGGAAAAAAAAAGTTAAGCAATTTCTCTTAATTAAATTCCCTCTATTTAAGTAATCATCGAAGGTTCCGCTATTCCAATCTACTAGAACCATTCTTACATTAATTTATCAAAGCATGACTTCATCACATTAGAGTATCTTTAAATATTCACTGCAGCAGACCTCTATAGTTTTCAACATTATTATTAATAAAGAAATGACGTCATTTAAGAAGTTTGTCAGTAAGTTTTTAAAAATGAGGTATTTTTCATAAATTTAACATTTTTAGCAGTTACGATAAGTAAGAAAATCAAATTTGGCTCTTTTTTGAATAAATGGCTTAAAACATGCATTTTGTTTAAAATTTGATTGATCTTGCGTGAAACTAATGGTTTTTAAATTATTCCAATGCATTTAACTTCTGCAAGCCAATTTTTCTTAACGCGAGTTGTTCGATTTAAATTAACTCGATAGATTGAAACTCGATAGAATGTTCAACCTATGGCTCAACAAAAGCTCAGAATGTCTATATAATCCGTCAGAATTCATATAATCGTTCCCATTTGCGAAGCACATTATTTTTACAATTACACTTGAGATTCTGTACAGTGTTGTTGTCTGTAATTATGAGGTTATGAAGATATGAAGAAATCTGAATCTATAAGAATGTCTCTTCTGTCCCATAAGAATCTTTAAGAATTTCCTGCTTTTATTTAGTCTACTCAATAAATCATATTCTTTATCTTATTCATTCACTTTTTCTACGTAATGCGCATCAAATACCAGAGAAAACACTGCCAGAAAAGTTGGTTCGATAATAAAAGATAATAACAGCTCTGCATGCATTTTGCACCATAATATTATGAAAACTTATCGGAACATTAAAAAAGCGCAATATTCGGTCATATTTTCAGTCAATATGAAAAATAGTTTTATGAAACCAAGTTTAAAAAGAAATAAGTAGCTGTGTAAGGTGGTAAAATTTTAATAAGTTTTTTTGCAAATCTTATTGAACACTTGCGCTGCATTAATTGCAATTATTATTTTACTTTTGCAGTCTTGACTGGCATTCAAATTGGGTTGAAAGAAAAATCTTTTAGAAACCTAGACTTATTTGTATAAATGACTGTATTACTTACATTAATGATTACATGATTGTTTTTTTTCAATCTTTAATTATTATCTTGGAAAAAAAATAACTTTTTTCTGATTTAAGAAAAAGAAATGCTGTTTTTTATCGAGTTGACTGTATTTGACATGCTATAAAACATACTTTCGACGTACTATATGTATTACATTATTTCGATGTTGTATTATTTTAATAACGTACGTAATATATTTTAAAAATGACCCCCTAAAATTGTTTAAACATTATAATTTTTATTTATAATACCGAAACAGCTGTATATTGACACAATGGTGCATGTTTTATCTGTCCTCTGGAGTAGTGAGAAAGAATAATATAAGCAAGGAATGTGAGGGGTAATAGCAAAGGTGGCAATAGCAAAGGATAATAGAATGTATGGGTAATCAGGATTATATCAATATTACATTCTATTTTATATCAATTTCAACGCAATATTTGCTAAAAGAAAAGCTAACACATTTCCCAGCTGTCATATCAGATATAGTTACATGTTACTGAGCAATCTGCATCCCTTAGCTGGTAAAACATCTGAAGAGTTTATTTACTTTTCATATCCAAAGACGTTGTAACGTGTGTAATGTTTTTAATTAAAAAGTCGAGCAAGTAGTGCATGTGTCTTAAATAATGAATTATCTGTTTCCTTAAAATGTTTTAAACTATAGTTATAAGTTACTAGGGAATAATAAATCAATTATGCATTAAATGTCCCAGCTTTCTGACTGACATTATAATTAATGGTAAGCATGATATATATCTATCATCTCCAAAACCTTAAAATAATGAATCATTAAGCAGACACTGTAACCAAGAAAATAAAATTACTTGTAATTTTAAAATATTAAATCATATGTATTAACTAAAGAAAGTTTAGCAGAATTTAGAATTTTCCACATGATTTGACAAGTATGCATAATTCAGGTGTGTCAGCATTATAGTAAGATAGATATTTTAAGAATTTTTGTGCGTTGTAAACATCATATTCGTAGAGATATTATACCACAGCTTTTACAGTTTAATATTAATTATTTTTTGCATTATAATTTGTACTACAATATATAAAACGATTACCCTCTGTTACTATTTAAAGAGGAAAATATAAGCTTCAAATAAAAATCTTCTTTTAATAAATGTTTCTATAAATTACTAATTTAGCTTTTTGTTTAATTAAATAGTGAAATAAACTTTAATAAAACGTAAGTAATAGATTTTTAAAAAATAACAGAGAGGAACTAACAGAGGAACTAAATGGTTTCAATGTAGAAATCCCACAAGTAATATATTCCATAATACAAGAAAAATTTCTAGTCTGTTGCAAATACAAGTATCTCAAGAATGACACAGTATAGATTGTTTCAAACCTTTTTAGCTAATATCAATAAACGGATTGTTACTTATTATATCTGTTGAATTAGTACACAATAATAAGAACAATAAACAATTTTGAAACAAATTAACATCTGTCTCTTGCCCTTTACTATTCCTTGTCCTACTCTGTTACGATGAACATGGTAAGAGTAACAGAAGGGAAAAAAAGTAACTTCAAGCTAATTTACTTGGGCTGTTTCTATTTAAAAAAAGTTTAAACAAAACTAAAAAAAGAAAAATTTGATCTTACCATTAAAAAATCTACTGAACATTAAAACAATTAATTTGAAGCAATTATTCTAGTAACAAAGGGGAAAGCACTCACCTTGTCAATCCTTCTTCTAAGAATGCAGCAAATATATTGAGAGATTTTGAAATGGCTGCTTTATCTGGAAATTATACATCCAGCGTGTAATGCTACTATTTTTTTTCTGATTTAATAAAAATAATTTAATGCACTAATTATGGTAACATAGAGAACAAAATTCTTGTACAAGATTAAAATGTTTGGTATTTACTCAAAAGTAAATTTATACCTATATATTAGATAAACTGTGCTATACATTATATATAACACAATTTTTAAAACTTGATAAATCAAAACTAGTTTCAGTTCATAGCCAGTTTAATTGCAGTTAAATAAGAGGTAAAGAGGGCTAGAACATAGCAATTTAGGCATATTAAATTAGTACTACATTGGCATTGCTTCTAAACTACTAATTTTACCACTATATTTACTGGCGAAATAAAATAATAAATTGATATGAATATTTAAAAATTTTATTTTGAATTATACTTCAGTAATTAAAAATATTTAACGTCATGGTATATATAGCAATTTAGACGTATTAAATTAATACTTCAATGGATTATTTTTAAATTATTAATTTTACCACTACATTCACTGATAAAATAAAATAATAAATCAATATGAGTACTTAAAAATTTTATTTCGAATTACATTTCAGTAATTAAAAATATTTAAAGCCAGGAGATAAAAGCTTTTTTGAAAATAATCCAAATCGTTCCCGATAGTAAGAAATTAGTATTCTACAAAACAAGCTCCTTTTACATGTGGGCATCATATTATTTTATGAAAATTAAATTTATTTCGGTAACATGCCCTTTTTTTCTTGCTTAACTGTATTGCAATTGATAGAAATTTAATAAAATGCTGATATTCAAGAACGTCTTTTACTAAAATACCCAAATTTAGAATTTCTTTTCTCAGTGTTAAAGTTATTCATATTAAGAGGAAATATTTTCTTATTCTTTATCTTCCTAGCTTCTATTCATTACTTCCTTTCATAAGAAACAAATGTTGTAGAAAAGAAAATTAAATACTTTTAAAAAAGATGAAAAGCCTTGCCTAGCATTTATTTAATTTTTATTCACCACTGAAGGTCTTTTGTGAGAACAGCTTTTAAAGAATTCAATTACTGTTTCAAATAACTCTTTTTCATATATTCGACGAATTTTTTTTACAAAACTGAAGGTATTGTTTTTTTTTTTTTCAAATATGTTAATGCATTTTCCTAATTTAATCTAAAAATATCTTTCTTTTTTTTTCTTGGTACTACATTTACAAAAATTGACATTTCCTAAAATAAATCTCTATTGGATTAGGCTTTGGCTTGAATATTAATCGTTAAATAAAATTAGCAATGAATTTGAGCTTTTTTTCCTGTGTTTATTTAGGAGATTGTTTGGAAGTAATTTGCGCTTATTTACCACTTTTTACGAATTACTTATTACTTGGCAAAGTCATGTCGTTCAAAATTTCCCGAATTTGATTTTAAGTAGGCCTAATCTGTAAAGAAATCGGATCTAATTATGGTAAAAGTACCGGCACTAACTTTTACAGTAAAAACCATTTTATTCTAAAATTTTAAACCATATATTTTACAGTAATATTTATTTAAGTACAGTGATTAGATGATTTTACAATAAATATAACTGTAAAAAAAATGGCATATTAGATTTTTTTGCGGACATTTTCGCTGTAAAAATGGATTTCACTGTAAAAAGAACCGGCAATGTGGTCATCGGTACTTTAACCGTAATCTAGATCAAATTACAGTACATTTTACAATAATTTGTTTCAGAATTTTTCACGCTGTAGAAAATTCAGTACCTGCTTGCTTTGTTGCTCCCTAAAATTCACGAATATCATTCATTTTTTGTTTTTGTTTCAACCCTTTATATCACCTTGTTGCATATCTGCAACATACGCAAAAAACCTATGTCTTCGCCCCAACAAATTTCGAAGAACGATTTCGGCAATTGTCGGTCAAAACCAGTGCGCCAAGATAAAATTGGGCACTGGCTTAATTAGGCTAACAAAAGAATCAGATGCAAATACCCAAAATGCAAAGGATTTACACAAACTATTTGTGAGAAATGTGGTGTAGGACTTTGTTACAACAAAAGTAACAACTGTTTTAAAAATTTTCATATGAATTAAAATTTTTGAATCTTTCAATCTTAGTGCCATTTTTCACAATGTTGCAGGAATGCAGCAACCACTTTTTTGTCCTTTTGCATAAGGTTGCAAAAATGCAGCAATCAATTTTTTTCAAATATTTTTTTTTACTTTATGTTGTAAATTTTTTTATTATTTTTTACATGCTTAGAATGATGTATTCTAATGTATAAGTAATTTTTATTAAAATCAGAGATTCTGAGATATAAAGGGTTAAATCATAAACTGCCTATTACATCAAAATTAAAAATACTTCAATTTAAGGATCCAAACATTTTTTTCAATTTATTTATGTTAATTGGGTACTACAGATTTAATTCTTGACTCTTTTAAGGAAATGTTTGAACACAATCATTTCAATCAGTTACAATTGCAACTTTAACCACAAACTGGAAGCTTGATACCCTAATTATTATTAATAAGTTTTATAAATTTCCTACCAATCTCAACCTAAAATATATGTATCTTCTTTGTTTATTGAAAAACAATTTCATTTAAATTCTTTTTCCAGCAATATGCATATTCTGGTTGTTTACTTTCATCTGATTTTGAAGAAGGCATACATTCACAATACTTTCGCTACAAGAAATCTGTACTTTCGACATCAAGGAATAATCTAGAGTAAGAAAAAACATAATTAATTAAGAGAAAAGAATTAATGAAGAATTGCTTAGATGTGTTGAGTTTGGCTTCTGTGTTCCCAGTTCCTTTTTTTAGCTAGGCAAAGTTTATATTTATCGATTGTTTAATGAATTAACTCATTATTAATTTCAAAAAAATGTCATAACAATTGTCATGTTTTTAACTTATTAATTATTTTGAAACGCTCTTCCTTAATTGAGGAACACTTCATAAATTACATGGAAGGCCATTAGTTTATCTTTTGAATAGAATTCACAAAACATCATTTTCAAAAGATTTAAGGATATACAGATACATATTTTCAAAACATGAACCCTTTCATCCAGGGACAAACAAAATATAAAACACAATGCCAGTGAATAGTATCAAAAAAATTAGTTCCTAACTTTTTATGTATAGAGTATAGCCTCTGGATTCTTGAAATGTTTTAAAATTGCCAAAGATTTAATTAATTAATTTTTTTTCTGTATTGAAAATCTAGACCATGTTAATTATCTGCCCAATAAAATACACCAAACTGATATTTATTTTCGCACTGTGCTAATTTATATAGATATAATAATATATTAAATTTATTTATAGCATAGTTAATTTATATTAGTATAGTATAATAGTATAGTAATATACTAATTTATATAGATATATAGATATGCTAATTATAATCGTACAAAACGAACCATGTTCATTTAGAACATTAATATAGTGTCGGAAAAATAATAATTAAGGTCGAGTGAATGGCTACATGGAATTAATTATAGTTAGAAATGATGAAATAATTTAATATATATATATATATATATATTTANTATATATATATATATCAGATCAATAAAATCTTTTGTTATTACCAACTAAATAAATAAAATACATGCAGCAATTTATAGCACCTGTGTGTAGGGAAATGTTTTAATAGACAATGTGTAGGCTATTGGTCGAAGAGTATTGTTTAGGCATATGCTTATGGAGAGTATTGGGAACAAGTCAGGGGTTAAGAAACTTATCTGCCACAAGGAAGAACCGTAGTTCTAACTTTATTGACCGCTTCAAGTTTACTCAGATTCAAATTGAATATATTAGCTGTTCTGGAAAGAAAAAGTGGCCTGTGCGCAATATTACGACCATCATAATTACAGCCTCAAGGCTTATTTTAAAAGTGCAGAACCTTAACCTCCATAAGCCCCTCACCACATATGACTTTTATGGAAAAGATTTTTATAGAAGGAATCGCATTCATGAGAATCAATCACCAATATATTGATTGCTAATACAATGGCATTCTTTTTGGAAAAAATAAATTAATTTATCTTAATTCCAATAGAAGCATATAACTTATGAAATATTAGGAAAATTTAGAATAAATGAGCATAATATTATTCAATAATATTCCGGAAAATAAATTGATAGATGCACCTTTAGAAATAATTATCTTCTATAATATTTTAACATATTTAATAGGATGCCTATCTTAACTTTTATACGCATTCTTATCACTAAAAAGAAGTTTTAAGAAAAATCGAAACTAATTTCAGGGTTTTCCAATTCTCCATCGTTTACTCATTATTTCTGTTTGCCACACCTCAGCTTTAATTTCCAGGAAAAAGTTTTTTTGTTTTTTATTTGTGGATTCTAATTTTTCCCAGGAGAAATAATCAAGTGTTAGATTCACTAATATGTTATCAAAAACAAAATTTAAAAAAAGCTCCTCTAATTCAAATTAGTACAGTTAGAACAAATTTATTTAAATAGAAATTGATTTTATGACTTTGCTTTGAATTTAACTAAAATTATATCCAAAATAAAGTTATTTAATCATCCCATTTTATTTTTTAATTATTTTAAATATATTTTATAATGTTTAAATTTTATTGTAATTTCAATGGATTTAAAGCTATCCATAAATAATAAATATGCATTATTTTCGTAAATGTGCAGAAAAAGAAAATTAAATTGAATTCTGCATCTAATGGAAAGATGTATTACTCTTAGATAGTTATAAACTTTATGGAATCGTTAAGTAAAATTGCAATTCTGTACATATTCAAATTATTGTGATTCCAACAGTTCTATGTAAAAATATAAAACATTGGTAAAACTTTATTTCAACTACAGATATTACGTAAATTTTGCATAATTGTTTAATGTGATTTTACTTTCGATTGCAAAATGTGAGTTCCCCATAGTGCTAAATTGGTTTTAAAAGAATTTCCTATTAAAATTTGTAAACCTTTTTTTAATCGAAATTGGAGCTAACTTATCAACTTATTAGTTAAGTTCATAAAGCAGCTAAAATGTGAGTATAATTTTTGCACATTAATCAATAATTTACACTTATATTTTTAGTGACTATAACGATAACGCGAAGTTATAACATAATAAATTAATTTTATTTAAACAAGTCTGTCATTTAAAATTTTCCTTTTAACCCTTTCAAGGACTGTGAGATAAAAACGCTTACACTTTTTTTGACAATAATATGAACCACTAATCAGTAATACGTAATTGTCTCTAAAAGAAAATGGCCTAATCAACCAATTTTTAATTTGGAAAAAGTGGCGGAAAAGGAAGTTGTCCATTATTGACGTGCATATTATAACCACAATTCTTATGACTTTTCTTGAATAAATTTTTGAATTAAAATTTCTTGCCCCTCCAAAGAATTTGTTTTCCAACCAAATTTATTTTAAATCGTTCCTTTCATTTTGTCAAGTTTGTATAGCTAATTCCAAGAAAACAACTTTTAATAATTGATTTTGGATTAATATTTACATTTTTTACAGCAATATGTTTCTTTATATTGTTTCCAAGTGGGTACTTTTTCAAATTTCGGGAGTTAATAAATTTTATTAAATAAAAGGAAGATAAACTGAAACATAACGTTTTGCGACATCCTATCTATTAAATTAAAAAATAGTTAATTAATTGAACTAATATCCATTGTGTAACCAATTTTTTTCACAAATTTAATCTTTTGTTATACCATTTAATTTTAAAAAAATCATCAACTAAAAAGTCATCAGGGTTATTGGACTTAATAAATCAATTCTTTTTACATCCAAGCAACTCTTATTGCAAAGGTCATTTTGAGTTCTTCAATATTTAGAAAATTTAAATATTACATTATTTTATATTTGTTCTTTATTAATAATTTATAGAATTTTTAGTGGTATACTGTTTTACTTACGATTTGCAGAATAATCTGCGTTATTGCGATTATTATAAAAATTTCTACGAAATAATACTGTTTGTCCCAAATACATCAGCCTACTTAAAAATAACTTAAAGTAAAACAGAAGAAGATAAAAATAAAAGCTGTGTTGTGGTTTTCTCAGGAAACCAGCTTATGTACATATTCTCTCCGAATTATTAAGTTAGTTAAATTGGTTGACTACAAATGGTATAGTTAATGTAAAACTGTGTTTTGCTGAATATCATAAAATTTAAACTTTTCAGGTGTAACTGAACTTGGTTTCAAAATGCAACACGACGTCGATACTGCAGATAGTAATTATTTTTTTAGATAGTAGTTATTGAATATCTTTTTTCCGAATTTGTAAACTTGGTGAGATTTATTTATCTCTCTTGCCAGCATCAAATTTTAAACTTTTAAGAATCAAATTAATAGTAGATCGAAATAAAAAGATGTATTAAACTATAACAGATTGTTATTAAGACGAACTAGAACTAATTATTCTTAAGACGGTTAGACGAAAAAAGATGTTAAACTCGTTCGAAATTCCAAAAGTAGTTATGAGAATGCTGAAAGAAAGGCAAACTTGTTTCAATCTTGCAAGACTCATAAATTAGTTTCTGTTAAGCTTTTTCTCAATGTTTGTTTAATTTTGAAAGCGACTGGTTAGAAATAAATTCTCTAAATAATAGTTTATTAATGCTTTCTATTAATATTTATAAGTGTATGTTTCCTTATTTTGTTTTACTCTCAAAGAGGAAAAACTTATGAACAAAGTTAATAAGAGTTAAAACAAATGAAGTATGAATTTTAAAAAAACTATTCTAGTGTTTCATTTGAAAACAAAAAATAAAAAAAATTCTTAGAAGAAACATTTATATATTTCATTAATTGTTTCTTTCACTTTTATTTAGATGAAACATTTCTATGACTATTAAAAACTATACTAAATAATTTAATTTTGCATTAAACAATAATTGGAAGAAATAGCGAGTAAATCACTTTATTTAAACAAAAAATGAAGCATATAAAAGAATCGTATAACCTTAATTACTTAATTATCAAAAATCTAATTCGATTGATTAGATACAATACAAAGAAATTTTCAACTAGAATATTGTTGCAATATAACACGATATTTCTTACTTTGTTTCATCTTTTCACTTTACTTTTTTTTCCTATTTTTATTTTTTATCCTTAAATAATTTATTTGATTCATATTCTCATAAAATTTTATTTTGGTCATGGAAGTGCAGTTTTCTTACCATAAGTTATCGAAGTTACAACTTCGTTTTAAATTTTAAAGTGAGAGTTAAATTTTAAAACATGAGCATTGTTAAACGTGGTATCTAATAACTCAGAGAAAAAACGTATGGTCAAAACTAGCGAAATATATTATAATTGACCGTGTTTCTAGCTCTATGGGAAACTTCAAAAACTCGATAAGTTTCACTGAATCGATTTGTTAATGATATAGGAAAAATTAACGACAAAACACAGTATATATGATAAAAATAGAATAAAATTTGGCAAATGTATTAAAATTTGATAATTTTAACATAATACTTTTGAGCAAGACATTAAAACTATTTATTCGGGTTAAATTTACTTTCCAGTTTTGTATTGTATAAGGACCTCAATTTTGAAAATCAGAATTTCTATTAAACCGTTACCATATGAACGAAATAATTACTAAAAAAATGGTTTAAATGCCATATATTTTTAAATTATCAACAAAAACTATTATATTTTTTTAACCGGAAATGTCATTACCATACGCTACGGCAATTTTACCAGAATTTATTCTTCCATGTACATAGTTTTTAAACAATGAGCTATGGCTATTTATTTATTTATTTTATTGGAGTGAATTCTGAGTGTATTCTAACAATCCTAAAGAAAATTATAACTGTCTCTAAATTTTATCACTTCAGTATGAAAGCATAGTCACTATAGGCAAATAAAAATTCGAGATTAAAACTTATTAACAAGGCAAATGTGCGTTGAGATCGGCTTTTTTGAAAAAAGGTGATTTAAAATTTTTATATTGTTTTTTTTTATTATTTACCTTATAAGCTGTAATAAAAATGTTTCTAAACATTTTTTATGAGTACTGAAAAAAAACTTTCATAATGTGGTTAACAAATAGTTTACTAAATTTTAACATAACATCTGTTAGGTTTCTGAACAAATGATGGCTCCTAAATATGCTGCATTTTTTTTATATTTATGCATGGTTTTAATAATAGCATTTGTTCCTTGCATCGAATATATGCTATATTCCTGTATAAATCTACATTATTGCCATATCAAACTATGCATACATTTACAGTGTTTATATTTACAATGCTGAAAAGTATAAAATCACCAAAGAAAGCGATAAAACGTGAAAAGAAAGGACTTATAAGGTTTTATTTTATAATATAGCCATAGATTACGGCTAAATAAAATAAAACACGAAATGAAATTAAAAGCAAAATACATTGCACATTACTTTATGTGACAAGATAAGATTTCAACACGAAGTAAGGTGGAAAAAAAGTCGATGAAATTATTACACCAGAACAGTAAATAATGTAATATCCTTTGTTTCCTATTACTTTTTTCAATCATGCATTCATGGACTGAGATAGAGTTTGTAAAATAATGATATCAATATTGTTCCAAGATATATTGATTGCATCAATCAAATTCGACTTGATTCTGAATTGTTGATCAGATGTGTAAGCTTCTCTTAATTATATTCCTCAAAAATGGCCACTCAAGGGTTTTAACCTTATTTGCTTTATCCAGAATTTAGTTGAAATTGATGTATGAACTGCCGCATTGTCCTGTTGGAAGGTCCAGTTTTCGGATGTTATGAGGAAATTGATAGGTAATAAATTATCTCCCAATGTATCCTGATAGATAATGGAATTCATGGAATTTTTCATGGAATAGATATGGAATTCATGGAATTTTTCATGGAATAGATATGGAATTCATGCAAAGATAGCAGAATTTTTTTGCCCTCCAATACGCAGTTTATTGCAATGACTTTCAGGTTTCCTGAAGTAACTAACCTGCCGCCTTGGACCTTTCTACTTTTCTTGCAATTTGAGAACCATTTCCATTTCTTTAAAGATTAAAATTCTCCCTTGTTCGTCTTTCGTTCCCTAAAGTCTAAGTTCCCCTTTTCATTGTATCGTGCAACTACCTGCATTTGTAAACTGCCCACATATACTGCTACTGTGTTTGAAAACTACCAAAATCTGCTTTTATACAACTCGGGTTTGCTTCTTGCACGAGAGCAAACTGCTTTTTAGTTAGTGTGTTTTATGAATGACAGTAGCATAATTAGTATCAACTTTAAACTTTTTTTCCAAGTTGTATTTTAATAACTATGACAATGTTGTAATGATTTAAATAATATGCAGAATGAAAATAAAATTGTCAAGCAAAGCAATTAGGCTCTGCATTCACAAGTAGAAAATAAATTTATATACATATTTCATATGGGGTGAAATTTTACTCGGCTTTGTACTTTTCCCAGCACTGTATATTTATGTATTAATTTTAGAAATGCATATGTTAGAAAATTGACACGTGCTTCAATTATAGTTTGTGCACATGAACTACCGGTTGAATTTGTTAAATCTTTGGAATAACGTAATAATGCTTATTTTTATTATTTTTTCTCCTTATTTTGTAAAAAGTATATACGTGGTCGTTATTAAATACTTTTTTTATGATAGGCACACACAGTTAAGATGTTATTTTTATTTAAGAGTCAAGATAAGGAATAATTCATTCTTTTATTTGTGGTCAGACCTGGCTTCGTCGAACTTATGATCATAGTTTACCTGGAGCATTCGAAAAGATCAGTTATTTTTAACAAAACTATATTTATAAGTATTTCAGCTTAGTTCTTTATTAAAATTATTATTCTTACTATTATCATTATTTTTATTTTATGAAAAAATTACGGAAAAGTTGAAGCCTTGTTATAATTACTATATTCTTATTATCTTTATCAAAATTATACTATTATTTCAATAAAAAGGATCTTCGTTTTAAACCTATTATTTGGCTCAAAATGCTGTAAGTAATTAATAAAACATGTTTTCAATTATTTATTATTTATATATATATA